AAATCAAAACAAATTTGAAATATGTTATAAATTTTTTATTAAGTACCAGATATTTTAGTTATCTTCATTAATACGTCCTCAGTTAATATCACTTTAAGTGTGGAACTAAATTCGTCACGTAGAAATAAACAGAAATGACAATTTGAAGAAGTTTTCATGCAATTGAAGTAAATGGATGGTACATTTTGTTAGTAAACAAAGTTATTGTCAACAAATAATGTTTGTGATTTGGACAGGATGTTATTGTGGACAAAGATAGATTGAAAGTATCTAAGCTGTAATAAATATTGGTACTTTATATAAATTATTCTATCCAAGAACTATCTCCAATAATTATATACTTAATATGAAACTGGTGAGAATTGAAATTATGATAAAAAATGTGCTTTGAAAGACACTCTCAAGAATCTTGAAGATCTATCCACCCTTTGGACATGATATATTCACATTGAACACCGACAGTTTGAATTGTGAAGAAAATCAGCGTACACTATTTCACTTATCAGTATGAAAAAATTTCGTTCATATTTTGAGATTTTACAAAGAAATGGGATAGAAGTAAAATATTTTGTACCTATATGTCTATTAATATATATGTCATTCTATATTACATAAACTAAATGTAATTGTGATTACATTAACTTTGACTTTTTGATTAAAAAAAGGATCTGTACGTCAACTCTTTTTAATGCCATTCAAAACACAAGATGTCAAACGGAACTACGTAATGATTAAATCTTTTGTTATCCAATCTCAAATATCTGCACAGAAGTGACCCTTTATTTAAATTAATAATAAAAATCGCATTTCCCCTCAAATAATATTTTTCCATTTTTTTAATTCAATCACTTTCTAAACTTAATATAACATACTATATTCTAAAATATATATAGACATATTTAACATACTTGTTCGATAATATAAAAAATTTTATATTTGGTATTATATATAATTTAATTATTTTAAAATAATTAATTATAAATTTCTTGAGATTGAATAAACCATAAAGCAGATATGAGCAAAAATTTATCGTGACCTTTCTCTTCTTGATATAGATAAGGTTATTCTTTTAGACTCTGTTGTGTCTTTTATTATTTACATAAAATTGCACTTCAAGACTCCTGATTTTTTAAAATAAAATTTTTTAAAGTATTTATCACTGATTTCAAATAGAATTTTTTATAAAATAAAATTATTTCTATATAACCAGCTATAAATTAAAACCAACCATAATTTGCCCAACAGGATGAAAAATTTTACCAACCCTCTATGAAAATTACTTGTTAAAACAAAAGATTTTTGCAAATACTTTTATAGTGAAGAGCTTTTTTTACAATAGAAGAATTTATTATTAAGTGAATTTTATATATAATATAATATGTATATATATGTATATAATATGATAGATATAGTATAATATATATAATATAATATATATAATGTATATAATGTTTGGATTCCAAGTGTCAGGAATTTAAATTGTTAATGTTCGATTTTTTTTTTACTCCTTCCTTTTATATAATAGAACAACGACACAAACCCCATATATATAAATTTTATAACTATTATAAAATGTTGTTATTAAATATTAATTTATTCGTTATCTCAAGAATTCACATAATTGAAAATAAACTTTTATATTTAATAAAATTTATAAACCTTTATAAAAAATATTTGAAATTACTTATATTATATTACCTTACTAAGCCTAAAATATAATATTATTAGTCCGTATTTCAAGACAAAATTCTAGATTAAAGTATAGAATAATTACAGAGTTAGAGTTTACGAAATTAAACTAAATTTCATATTCTTCATAAAATTAGATTAAATTTCTTTCTACATTTTTTTTTTCGATTTTATATATAACTTTTTCTTATATTTATTTTCTTTATATATTTTTAATTTTATTATGAAGTTAAGATAACGATGATTCAACTTTTTAAAAAATTCATTGATGTTTTGCTTAGCATTTGTTTATTTTGGCTTAGTACTACTTATTGTGCTGTGTTTTGCAGTTTCTTAAAATATCATTTCAACGCACAACGTGAGCAAAATAATTAATTCTGAGATATTCAATAACATGATTAACACTTTTGTATCATATAAGATACAAATAAAAAATAAACAAAATTAAAATTAATCATCGTTATTCTCAATAATTTTAAAGCCGTTCCTTATTTAAGACATAAAGGCAACGAATTGAAATTTAAAAAAAATATATTCAATTAAATGCATTTAGACCTTTACCAAATCGGATTTATTCCATGAAATAACTTCCTGTTATAAATAACAATTTTATATTTGTTCCTCTATATATTAAACTATTTATTTGTTTTATTAGTAATGGATATTTTAAGTTATATTAACTAATTATTTAATAATATTATGTACAAACAAATAAGCAGAGTATTTGGAAGCACACAAATAACAAAAAAATATATAAATATCTTTTCGAGATAATTCTTTTATATGTATAGTAAATAGTTATATTATATAGTATATCAAATCATTAATATAATCATGTTACGCAGAGAACTTATATATACAATCTCTTCATTGATGACATTAGTGCTGTACTTGAGGAGAAATAAATCGAATTTGACCCTTTCTATCAAACCCATATACCCATAAATCTATTTTTGTACGTGTCCACATTTTAGTTAGAAATGGTTTTATTAAAATATTACTAACAAAAATAAAAGTGTTTTCTTCAACATCATAAATACTCCTTTAGTGCAGCCAATCCATCAGAGTTACGATCTTACTACTCATATTCTTTCTCTGATTGATGATAAAGCCAGCAAATCCATTTGATACTAATTAGCACCTCAAAGTCATAATTCAATTAGATGCGTGCCTTTTCATCATTCTTTTTTAAAATGTATAATTTGATGCATTATAAAACGATCTATTTAGTAAGAGTGATCTATGGAGTATGAGTTTTGTCATTCGAAAGAGACCTCGAACCAAATTCTAATTGCATCAATTGCATAATTACAAGATGCAATCTTGTTCGAATTTCTTCGATATGCAATACATTTAGGGTTCTATTAAATATCACTTTGCAAACTACTGCTGTTTGGAAATACATTTGAATTTTTTTACCATTTTCTATATTTAATTAATTTAAAATCTTGTTAAGATATTTCATACAGATATTATTCATATAGTGAGATGAATTATTGTCGGTTAGGTTACATGTATACAGATTAAATCTTTTTGTATATAATATTTTGAGATAAATTAATATTATTTATCACTTTGCATACTGTCCAACAGTTATATATACAACAAACAATACACACAACTAAAACTAAGTACTTACAACTGGTTCGAAATGTTTCAGAGTCCATGTATTACATAAAGTATCTCCCACTATGTGGATTACTTCAACAAGCACATCAGCTATACATACAATTTAGAACAATCCCAATAGTTAATAACTCAAAGGCTATTACTCTCTTTGTTAGTATTGTAAATATACAATAACAACAGTAAAAGAATTAAATATGAATAGAGAAATAATATTTTTGCAAGTATCCGATTAAATCATAGCATTAGCTATAAAACAGGGTCCGTATATTAGGAAACCTGGTATCGAAAACTCATTATATCACAATAATTATAATCATTATATCACAACAATACAATATTTTTTGTATTAATAAATAATCAAATAATAATACAAATGTAATAGTAGATAATAAAATAAGAATAATAATAATAAGAATAAAAATAATATAATGAACTATTTGGGAGTTATTGATCTCAGTCAATAACTATTAGTATATCACTTAAGTTTCTCGGTTATTTCTTTTTTTATTAATTATTTAATTTTAAAATTATTTATATATACATAAATAACGCATATGTATAATAATTTTAATGAATTGTTATATACACATATGTTGTTTATAAATAAATTATGAACATTGAACTTCAGTTGAAATTGAGGCCCAATGCTTCAGTTAGGAGGACAGAAATACAAACATACATACATTGAAATTTTTTTATTATAAAACTTTAAAAATAAAATAATGTTTATATATTTTATTGTTTTGATTACTGAAAATTTTTTTTTGTATATTGCTTAAAAAATTTAAGCTCACTTAAATAAGTCCTTGACATTGATCTGAAATATAAAGTGACATACTCTCTACGCATGTGCAACGCTCATCCGAATACCCACTTACGAATTGAGTTTCGAAGATAAAACTTGACTTGACAAATCCGAGAAGAGACACCAATGCCTTAAATCGCTAAAAGTGTAGAACAGGTTCTCTAACAATACAACACAATATTCGCATACATGCTTCTCTAAGGTGCTGTTAAATATTTTAAAATTTATTAATTAATTAAAAACGCAAAAATAATTAAATTATAAAAAATATATACAAAAGAGACATACATACACTTTAATGCTTACATATTTATATACAAGATTTATTACATATGTGCATCCAAGTGTGTTTCGATAGAGATAATGCGTAGGCTTCTGTTATTTTAAACACTTGAAAAAAAAATTATAAATATATATAAATGTCGATTTCAATACAGATATTTACTTAAAGATACAAATGTGTTGTTTTTTATGCTGTAGGATGAAATAGTAAAATTAAAGTAAAATCAATTTACAAATATTGAAGAACAAATGTGGAACTATATGTACTCTTATTGTAGATATGTGGGTGGACATGCTCTCATTTATGTATGAATTTTTGACAGTATGTGATCCAAGAAAATAATAACTTTAAAATATTTATTCAGTATTTAAACCAACTTCATTACTTTTAAACGCACTTTTTCTAAATAACTTCAAAAATTAAAAATTGTTATATGTACATATGTATATAGAAATATATATATATATGTATACATAAAAAATGAGATTAAGACGTAGGGAAAGTAGCCAAAACGTGTGTATATATATTGCATTTTAAATAGATTTATTGTTTCTTTATAAAATTATAAAATGTTTTTTATTACAATATTTACAGATGGCAATACCACCGCCGCCAGGACCACCACCACCACCTGGTCCACCGCCACCACCAGCGATGGGCGGTTTAAAGTTAGGCGGAGCTGCAGGTGGAGACTCACGATCAGCTTTATTACAATCAATACAAAAAGGCACGAAACTAAAAAAGACTACAACCGTTGACAAAAGTGGTCCAGCTTTAGCAGGAAAGGTAAAATATTTATTTTTAAATAAAAACAATGTTAGAATATAGAATATAGATATAGAATTATATAAAATAGATATGGCAGACTACAACCTTTACAATTATTATTGAATAATAATTTAAACTGAGTTACATATTGTTTTTCCACAAAAACACAAAAATTATTAATTATTATTCATACACTCTAACAAATTCAGCTGTATCAGTAGCTTATATTGTAGGACGATTCTTGGAAAACGGTCTATGATAAATGGAAAATTCCTACATTAAAAATGTTCATAAGATAATATGATATTATATTCGAATAACAAAAGATTGACATAAAATTTCCGAAGAAGTGACCGCACTTCGGATTTAAGATATTTGAATGAATCATTTTTGAAGTATTGAGTATTTTTCGAAAAAGATGCTTTATTCAAGGTAATTTTTTTTTGACATCCTATATTTCAGTTATTTTTGAAAATCAACTATTAGATAATTGCATTCTTTGGAGCAAGGAATCATTTCCAGAATTTATATCAATTTATTAGGGTTTGATCTTTATATTGTATTATAAATAAAGATTAAACAAAAATCTAAACTTTTTAAATCCTATCACCAAGGTATAAAGAAGAGTATAACATTTTAAAAGAATTGCTACTGTGTTGAAAGAGTAAGAAAATTGAGAATGTTAAAAATAGATTGGATGGCGCCTTAAAAGAAAAAGTTGCATGTCGTTAGAATTTCTTCGCTTAAGATGGTTATGAACAAATGTAGCGTAGCAAATTCTTAGGAGAGTGGCTAGTAGCAATTGTATATATTTTGAAATAAAGAGGTCCAACACACTATTAAAGTATACTTGCTACAGTAGTTGACAAGTCTCAATATACTTCAATTGTATGGAATACGGTAGATAGCGACTATAGCTTAATCGTACGCAGTGCTTAAGTAAGATAGAATGTCGTATTCATGTATTTATTACTTTCATTTGATATGGAATTGCTTTTTCAAACGGGTGCTGTACCCCAAAAAACAGCAGAGTTGTACATAAGTCCCGCTCCCTTTTAAGGAGGAAACTGTATATAAATGTATAGTTCCAATTGGAACCGAAGAAATTCCAATAGGGGAGTTTATTAGGTTTTAAGCCACGGTGTTCTTGTTAATCACGCTAAAAAATATGTACTCTTTAGTTTGTTCCTGCAAATCAATAACTCCCATCGCGACAAAAGTCATTTTTGCGTTCATTCTGTGTCCAGAATGACCACTGCTCGATATATAACTTGCTTGCGATAAATAATATCTGTTAAACCTATAGTGCTATTTCGGAATAACAAGGAGTTTGTGTTTCTATTATAGAAATATACTACTATATTATTTATATTAGTTTTAAATGTAATTGTTCAGTCTTGTAACCACAGATTTATTATATCAAATAGATTTTAATTAATATTTTATATATATTCTCGTATTTTTCTGTTAGATCTGTGATTCGTCATCAAATGGATCACCGAAACGCACTAATCTTAACAATAATACAAGCAATAGTAACAATAATATTGGCAATGGAGCACCCAAATTAGGTGGATTATTTGAAGGACTCTCATCTATGCCAAAATTGAAACCTGTCAATGGCAGCCGGTGTAAGTATAAACCATTATAAATCAATAATATGCAATAGTTTGTAAATAAATTTAATATAAATTTTCAGCTACCACAGTTACGTCTTCCACGCGTTCCAATGACACAAGTACAACGAATAGTCGAAGTGGAAGTCCCCCCACTGCGAATTCAACTCCAGCAACAACGAAAAATGGTCCAATGGACTTCAATACTGAACTGACAAAACATTTAACGCTTAAACGTCAAAAGCAACAACAACAGCAACAACCGATCAATGCAACAGAAGCGAATTTAAGAACAAATCGGGGACCACCACCGCAGCCACCAACAGCGCTACCCAAAAATTTATCAACGGTAAATGTGAAACAAATTAAATATAATTTTTATTGTTTGTGCTTCCTAAAAATCTCAAACATGCACAAAATATAGAGCCAAATGCATATGAGGAGGGGTCAAAATAAGTATTTTATACCATTTGACGTCAATTAAATTTAGATTTTTATATTTATAAATATATCTATATCTGTATATATCTGTATTTATGTATATATGTAGTATATGTGTTGCATATATGTTAGCTGCGTTGGCTTTTTGTTTATTATTTTAGCTACACAATTTTTCTGTTGTCTTATATCAATTTTATTTTATTAATTTTTTTATTATACTGAATGTGTTTAAAATACAATCAGTGAAACTGTGCACATTTTGAGGAGTGTTTTTTTATAGATAAATCTTTATCGAAAGTTTTATAAATTTAACATTGAATTTACTTTACATGTTAAAAATGTACTACTTATGTGCTCTAAAAAGAAATAATTTCTAAATAAAGAATAAAATTTGGATAAGAGTAGAACCATTAAACGAAATACGTTTCCAAAAGCAAATGAAGATAATATTTAAAGGTTAGGTTAAAAAACTACTATAGGTTCTATTTAAAAAATCATGATTCAACGCTATCAATTATGGCGTTTTTTATTTATAAAGGACACGAATTAAATTTCGCAGTAATTAATAAGAAATTTGCCAATACAGGTTAGACTAGTGGTTCATTTAAAAGTGTATGAACAAATTTAAAAGACATGTGAAAACTATAATGGTCAGTGACGTATACAGAGAATCATATAAGGGGCGTTTTGGAAACTAATTCAAAGTTCATATGAAAATATTTAATTAATAAAAATACTAGTATATCTAGTGTAAAATAATCCAAAATATGAACGATATGAACTCCAAAGGTTCACGGCCCCAGCTCACTTGTATACAATACTGATAGTAATCTATAATTTCAAATTCATATTTTTTTAATTTTATATATTTCTATATCTATATTTCTATATATAGTCATATTTCTATATATATGACTATATCTCTCCCATTATCAATTTCGATAGAAAATTTAGTGTTGAGTTTCCATCTAGAGACACATGGTTATCAAGAGGCCAGTCATTGTGGGACGATCTAATTATTCTTTATTGAAGGATATAAAATAAGTAGCAGTGTAGGCAGTGTGGTTTTTCTTAGAAAGATTGGAAATTTTTTGATCATTGCCGTGTTTTTCAAGCAGAGTTTATAGCTATAAAGTAAACTATAGCTTATCTGGAAATGGATTATATATTTTATAGGAATGTGTACTTATTATCAGCCAGTTAAGCTGCTTTAAAATCTTTGAATTGAGTTCATATATCCAGGACGGATTTTGATTGTTACACATCTCCAAATGAGATATTGATGCAGTTTAATATTTCTTTACCTTTGGTTTCTGATCATAGGGATGTTTTTGGCAATTGCAAGGCAAACGAACTAGCCAAGAGAGATACTACAAGTAAGCACCGGAAACATCGGTGGCGGCGTATTGCTAAAAAAAACGGTAATTTTATTGAGATGACCCATAAGGGTATTAGTCTTGTGGCAGGTTTACTGACGAATTATAGTCGAGTATGATCTACATTTTAATCATTCTTATAAAAGAGTGCATCCTCTTCTAATATTTATTATGAAATTATTAGTTTTTATGCCAATCTAAATAAAAATGATCAATTTAAGTATATATCTATACCTTAATATATATACCTATTCATATATATTTAAAATAATATTGTATTTATAAAATATAAATATATTTTAAAATATAACTGAATAATACTGAATATATAAAATAATATTTTTGTTTTTAACAGAGTACATCGGATTCAGTATTAGAAAAAGCCAAAAGTACTGAAGCAACTATTCGCGCCAGTGTGGTTACAGAAAAAAATTCAAAAGCATCGTCGCCTACTGCATCTGAAAGTAGTAATAGTAGTACATTAAGCAACAAAGTCATTGGAAATTCTGGATCAGTAAAATCTAAAGCTGCCAATTTGAAGTAAGTATTTATTTTTCGCATGACATCAGTTAGTCTTCATTATTTTGTAGTTCAGTTTATTGTTCATGGAACATATATATTTATATCTATTAATTTTTTATAAAGAATTTTATTTTAAAATCAATAAAAATAATATTTTTTGTTATGGATTGAATGGTTTAACTTTTATAGTTATTTAGAAAAATGTATAATATATTAATTGAATATATATAAATTAATTTAATAACTTTTAAATAAAGTACTTATGATAGTAGAATTATTTGTTATGATATTACAGTTTGTATCATTCGCTATACATTTTAATGATAATATTTTCTATATACACGTGTATATACTTATAGGTTATACTCGAACAATAAAGTTTATTTTTATACTTCACTTATTTGTAATATAATGTAATTTTTAAATTTGGTTCGTAGGTATACAAATACATTTATATTAAAAAAAAAAATAGAAAAAGGTTAAAGTTCGGTTTAGTAGATTTTGCTGTTTTGTTTATTTTTAAAGTTTATTTTTAATTTTATTATACTTTTGGAAATCTACAATTTATTACATTTATAGAAACTTTAATGTCATTTTACACACAAAACATATTTCTCCACTTTTTAACTTTTTTAATATATTTTATTTTAATTTTTAAATTTTATTATTTTGTATATTTTCTCTTAATTTATATTTTATTTTATTCAACAGTTTATCACTAGGAAATAATTCAAATGTTGTAAATAATAAAAATAGTCAAATAATAAAAACTGCATCAACAAATTCTCTGAATTCGTCTGCATCCATAAATTATAAAACAAATAAGAACAACCTTATCAGCGATTCTGCAATAAGTAAATCATCTTATTCTTCGTCTACAACATCATTAATCGCAACAAATACTTCAATTCGAAATTTAACTCCAAACAAATCATCGCTTTTCGGTAATAATGGTGGTGTTAGTAGTGATAGTACAACACCGTCTCCACCAGTTATGAATAAATCACCAACGCCTGGAATTAAACCAATGCCTAATCATGGTAAACCAAATTTTGCACCCAAACCTCCAGGATTACAACAGCTAGCCTTTGCTAATGGGCAACGGCCATTAGTCTCTCGTCATCACAGTATGAAATCTCCAAGGTACAGAACTTTAAAACTTTTTAGGTGAAAAATTCTTTTAACCTGTAAAAGTTTTACTTTACGCATATATATCATCGTTTATAAGCTTGATTGAGGCTTTATTTGATGCTTTATTTTTTGTTTTATATAATTTACTTTTATTATTAATATAATCACTACTAATACCACAAATCACATATCATTTAATTATACATAAGCATAATTTATTTAAAAACACTAAAGCAAATGTATAAACGTATACATATATAAATCTATATAATATATCTATATATATAATATATTTAGCTATATAATATATATATCATGTATATATATATATATATAATATAAATATCTATATAATATATTTAGCTATATAATATATATGTCTATATAATACAGATAGCTATAATGTATATAATATTAATGTATAATCTACATAATATATAAAGCTAAATAATATACATAGCTATATAATATATATTTTTATATAATATATATATATAATATATATGTTTATATATGTCTTAAGTAAATCTTTTCATGCAAGTAATTGTTTTCTATACGCTATTAACTATATAAAACTGCTATTTAATATTTCATTTATTATACCATAATATATTATAGTAGTACATTTACATCTAATAATTTATCAAACGTTTAGTGCACTTGTAAATATTTTATGCTTGGATAATATTCATAAATTTCAGAGTTGTATTGCACTAATAGTTCTTCACCTAATAGCGCTTCAATTTTAAAACTGTAGTCTAAATTAATAATATTATTCTTTCTTCAGATCACCGCCAATATCAAGCGCTGGTGGGCCAGTATTTCCTACTCAACAGCATTTTGGGACATTGCGCACACCACAACAACTATGTCAATCACAGGACGCAATCAACTCCAACATACGCACAGCGCCAAATCCACCAATTGGTATATATAATGTTATATCTAAAAATATTTAAAAACATAAAAATTAATGTAATATTATTATTAGGTCGACCCACGGTTGCGCCACCGAAACCACCAACAGTTAAACCACCTCCGCCGCCAACACCAGCGCGTAGTATTTCTAATTCCAATTTAAATAGTTTAACGCACAATGCAACAAATTCTTCTGCAGCACCCTGTAGCGCTGTAAATACTGCACTTGTAAACACTGTAACTGGTTCATCATCTACTCCTACAACAACACAGCCGCCATCAAACTCATCGTCCTCGAGTAGTGTATCCACACTTCGTGAACAATTTAAAAATACACAATCGGCACCAACAACACCGCCAGTATCTGCAGCTTTAACAAATAAAACTACCGGTAGTCCAGTTAGTAAAACTAATAGTACTCGTGATAAGAACGTAAAACCAATTATTCTAAATGGTGGGCCAATAAATGCGCCACCATTACCGCCACATCGAACATGTCCAGCGCCACCACCGCCACAGAGGCAATCAAGTAATGTAAGTATTAAAAACTGAATGCAGTAAAATAATAATTTAGTAGTGGATAGAAGTGTATATCATCGTTGTATTATATATTACTATATTATATGATGGTTAGATCATAGAATAGTTTTCCATTAGTTTTGACTTGAAGTCCTACTACCAGTTATAAGACAGTGGTTGCAACGCACTTTCATACTCATAAGTAGCAAATATAAATTAGGTAACGAGAGTACATAAGAGAGATATGAAATAGGTAGAACGATTGCGGCAAGTTACTTTCTTGCTTTCTTGAACAGTTGAGATCAGGAAGCTTTGGAATTGAAACCAAACCTGCGTGTATACGGAATAATGTTTTCAGTGCTTTCAGTGGAAATTAAATACTAATCAAATGAACAAAAAAAAAAAAAATAAAGCTAGAAGCTATAGGAGAAGTACCCTGCTTTAAGTACTGCCAGAACAATGTTATATGAATATCTGCTAGAATCGAAATACAATTTAAACAGGACATCTAAAAAGATACTGCAGCGCTATAAGAAGCAGTTCGTCCTCGAACTATTTCGCAATTTTTATTTATTTTATAATATAAAACATTTCGCCATTTTTAATTCGTTTGACTGATATTACTATGAAACGTGCAATATTTATACTGATTTACTAACTGAGTGAAGATGGCATACTACAGAGAACTATGGAATATTATATGTATGATAAAGACCTTGTTATTTTAATATTAAATTTTAAAAACTTTTGAGCTACTCACTATGACTTTCACAAATTACCAAGTGTTAGCATATATAGTCTAGCATATATTTCTCTGGTTTTTGACTATTGTTCAATGGTTTTAATAGTACACTTCTCCTCTTCTTTTTTTAGTGCAATTTGCCAAAAAAAATTTGCAATTTTTCGTTACATTTAATATACTTAGGGTCTTACATATACATGCAAATCACAATAAAATTTGAATAAAGTAATGCTCATACATACAATTCACAATAAAATTTGAATTGATTGAAGGTCTATTAGTATGTTCTAATTTTACTCGCTTGCCGCTAAATAAAAACCATTCACTAAATTAATTAAGTCAGACATTGTATATGTTCTTATTAAAAAGTAAGCGTAATTCTGGAAATTTTGGTTTTTTAATAAAACATAATTTAAAGATAACCTATAACCAATGTACCAGTTAACTGCACTAATAAAAGAAAAGTGCAAATTTAAAGTTTCACAAAATACTCTGTGGCAAGTCTCTGCCCACACATTTTCAATGTTAAAATTCATTCTTGTTATGAAATACTAAAATTGCAATATTGCATACTCAGTCTTATTTACTATGTTTTGAAATATGTGTATAGATAGATATACTATATAGATGAGTGTATGTGCAGAAAACGGCGACAAATTGTCTGTGAAATTCATTGAAGTCTGTGTTTTTGTACACAGCATAACAACTTAATAATATGCTCTTTTGTTCTTTGGAACGTGAGAAATAAATATAGGGCAACTGTTATTGTGTTGGGTGGAATATATAAAGTTATCGAATGTTTACATAGTAAATACTCCTGTTGATTTATATAAAAGAAGAATGTATATAAATATGTATTTGCAGTATTTTGAGTATATTTGCGTGGGATAAAAAGTGGGTAGTATGTTGTGGGGGATTGTTTGTTTACAGATATTCTTCACAAACAATAGTTGTATAATTTTATCCTATAAAATAATTCTTAATGCGTATATATACATCCTATTTTTTGTTAACCCATTCATAAAACACCCTCTCTCTCCCACTGTTCTACTGCACATGTCTCTCTTTCTTCTCTTTTCTCTCGTACAAAATATGTATACAATATGTAAATTGTATATATAAAAATAGAAAGAACCCCCTTTTTTTACGTCCCACACAAATTTTTTATATCTTGAAACATGTGATATATGGAGAACTTGTGAGTGGGAAAAAGTATCAAAACAAAATAGTAAGAACAACAAAAATGAAAGCATATCATTTGGCATTGAACAAATGTGTAATATCAATAATTTTCCTTGCAAGCTTCTAGGAGGCGAGTTTGTTTTTGAAAGGATTTTACAGTGAAAATAATTGATTTTGAAAAATATTAATTATAACTCATTTGTGTTAAGTGTATACCATGCTATATATATAAAATATATATTAAATAATAACCATAAATAAAATTTTGTGAAGTATAAGTAATAGATACTGTATTTATTATAAAGCACAGTTTTAACTCTTAGCAAGTAAATATACTGAAAGCATAAAATGATGTTGAACTACAGAAGAAATGTAAATATGTTTTTTATTAATTAATTTTTTTATCATTTTTAATTAAAACAATTCAACTTTGTTATACAATGAATTAACGTTCAGTTTCCCAAAATAAAATATGAATAACCTTGTAGTTATAAACTATTGCGAAATATGTGTGTGTATGTTTTTTGTTAAAAATAATATTCTACAATAATATTGTAATCAAAACCTTATGGAAAATAATATTCCTTACTAAGCATAGTTTGTATAAAACTACTATATCATCATCATCATCATCAGCGTTACAGCTCGGGGTGAGCTTTAGCTGCATCAACCAGCTTTCTCCATTCTGCTTTGCATGATGTTTTAGATCTCCAGCTTTGTATACCCATTTTCCTGATGTCTTCAGTCACGTTGTCGAGCCATCTTATACGTGGTCTACCTCTGCTGCGGTCATTATACGGCGTGAAATGGAGTATTCGCTTTTGTGGTCTATCGTCCGGCATTCTCATGACGTGTCCTAACCATCTCAAGCGTTGCGACTTTGCGAACTTCACCACATCTTCACCATCACAAAGTTGTAGTAGTTCAGCATTCGTACGCCGACGAAATTCTTCTTGATTCAGGCGGATGGGACCATAAATCTTTCTCAGCACCTTTCTTTCAAATGTTCTAATTTGGTTTTCATCTGCTGTCGTTAGAATCCACGTTTCGACTACTATATATAGTCGTTATATATACATCTGGACCTCCCCACAATAGTATAAAAAAAAATAAGATCATAGCTAAAATATATGTAAATGTAATGTAAATTACAATTAGGTAAACCGAAACTAAGAAGTCATTAGATACGAAGATTCCTCATCGTCATCATCATCATCAGTACTATAAACGGTATCCGGTCTTGGCTTCCTTCAACAAGTATCTCCACAGACTCCGTTTACGAGCTAATGTCATTCAATTTGCCATCCTTAAACCTCAAATGTCCTGATCTATGCTATCTTATATATTTTGTTCGTAAAAACCTCAAAATCTTACATATAAATATAAAAATAGATTAATTATTATTAACAAAAATCGCTTAACTGTTTTTAGTGATAATTTTAATTGTTTATATGTTTAAAAGCAGCATAAGGTACGGAAACCTATCAAAATTACAAAATAATTTAGTCAAAAAATACAAAATTATATTTGTACATTCAAATATTCCAACATCGAAACGAAATTGTTGTCTGCTACTGATTTTCGTAGGATTTTTATATTTGGGCCAAAATTTGCACAAACGTTGTTTGTGTCATTTCTTAGTTCTTGTCGGTAACTATTGCTTCGCACGTTGCATACTTGTATTAAGTGTATCTGAGTTAGGTGTTGTGTGAACACGAATGGTAAATGGTATTACAAAAACAAATATGTGAATATGTTATAAGCTGTATATCGTTATTTTAAGGTTGTAATGTATTGTTGTTGTCATTGGTTTACTTTTATTTATAAGTCATTGCATGTCCACCACTATTTCAAAGTATAAATATAGTTTAAATACTTAATATAACAAAGAATTTTTAAAAATTTTTAATATAACTTTTTTATTTGTTTTTAGACTGGCAGTGGAGCTCCACCTGTGCCACCACAGCGGCATTCATCTATAAGAGCTAACGCTCCCATAACACCACCAACAACTGCAAGCGCACCATTATTCGGCAATAATATTGGCAACAACATATCGAATGCGAATTCCGTTAGTCGTTTAGTTGTCGATTTAGAAGCGAAATTCGGCAAACGTTTTCACAATGTAACAGAATTCCCAAAGCCGCCACCATTTTTAAATGTCCAAAAGATATATCCTAGTCGAACTGTTAAAGCAACAAATGGTATGTAAGAAGTAAAAGTACACAAATGCACATTAAGTTGCGTTACTAGAAATTATACCAACTTAACTTCGTCTACTATACTTGACTCGTTAAGGAGTTAAACATCAAGTTAAAAATATATTTCATAATCAGGGTTTAGGGTTTTTCTAATAAGTACTACTAAAATACTTATATACGTTGCAGTAACAGACAACGTTGCGGTCTCTATGTTCCACAAACCCCATTGTGAAAACTGTAAATTAATATTGTGTACATACTTACTTATATAAAAAATATTATTGTTGATTAATTTTTATTTTTTATTCAAATTATATTAATTATATTCAAGCAGTTATTTATATTAAAGTTATAAAAATTGTGCAAAAATTATGCAAAAGTAATGAAGAAATTATGCATGTATTTAAAGAAATAAAAAAGTTGTTTTCTCTTGGAAGAAGTAATTTAAAAAATGTTAATTTTTTTATCGTTTTAAAACTTCCATAAGTTAAAATTTTAAGTTATATTTTAAGCTTAAAAATAATTTTTACTTTTTTTACTTACAAGAATTTTAATTAAAAATTGTTATTTTAAAATTCTGTTTAGTAACAAACATAGTTTTTATAAATTTTAATTTTGAATTAAAATAATTTTATCTGAAGTATTAAGTGAAATAAATAGATAATATAAAATAATGAATTTTAACAAATATAGCTTTATATTTTTAAAAACTATTAAATAGGCAGTAATGCATAAATTTATATTGTTTTTGATTTTTTAAGCTTATATTAAATAACTTTATTTGAGTAAACATATACTTATATTGTTGAAATGCAAAGTCATATCAATACTACATTTTAATTAGTACGATCTTTATTTTTTAGTTGTACAAAATAATTTATGTAGCATGATAACCAAGATACTTATATAATAATTAATACACTATAAAAAGAAAAATTTTAATAAATATTATGAATTATAATTTTCAGTTAAAAGCTTTTGTTTCATTTATAAAAGATTTTTTTATATTAAATTGTTTTTCTCCACTATTTTATTTGACGTTTAGATGGCTTCTAAACTTCTGAAACATTTGTTAAGTTTACAAACGAAATAATACATTGAGAGAATTAATTAAGCAAAAATTTTATTATTTCAAGCCATAAAACTGGAACTGCAGAAGTATTCATTATTTAATATAAATAGTTTCATTTTCTCTTCTTCATTTCCAATTTTTTACCGAAAATTAACGATTATATAAAATTCGTATATATAAAAAAATATGATATTATTTATTCTTAATAATGTGTGAAAATATTTCTCTATTTTTGACCACCTCCAAATGGTGGCACTCAAATTCACTCAGCCATATACTTCTCAACGATAATAACTTATTTTTATCGATACCTTCTTTACCTTCAATCATTTCCTAAAGTATTAGCTGTAGTAGGTGATACTTAGAATTAGGAAAAATATGGGCCATATAAACAGTTTTCTTGCGTTTGAAGAAGCCAGTTGTAGCAGGAGATACTTTGGGTTAGGTAAAATATGACCTTGCGTTTGCAGTCTCTTAACAGATGCTGTCACCACTAAGTCCATGTAACAGTTTAAAGTTGCTTAGATAAATCATTTAAGTTAAATACCAAACTAGTCTATTTAAATAACTTGCTGACCTAAGTCATTAAAATGAACGACTCAAAAAGTGCATTGAACTTCTAAATTAAAATTAATATTTAATTATTTCATAAAAATATATATAAAAATGACATACTGAAATAAATCTTTAAAGGAAATTATACAGAACTAGTTTCCCCCACTACTAACCACTACTCATCCAAATCCCCATTTATGTAATTGTGTTGTAAATTCTTTCTTATTATCGGCTTACAGGTCCCAGCGGACTATAACAACAACAGCAACAGAACTAGTTTATTGAAATAATCTACTTATTAGAATTTATATTCTAATTTGGAACATATAAAAAAAATATAGAGTTAGATTATTGACTTTAATAAATAAAAGCTTTCTGAACAAATTCAGTTCGTAAAAATAAAGTACCGAACTAGTTCATTGAAATTATCGAACTTATTCGTTAAAACGAACTTTACAGATCAATTGTATTAATTATAGCATATTGTAATAAAAAAAAGCCTCTTAAGCAAATGATTGAAATCATATTGTCTAATTCATGTTGATACATTGAGTATTCGAACTATTCAGAAGTTACCGAAACTTTCATTAGCTAGAACACGTAACATAATCATATATTATAAATATATTACGTTCATACCATTCGGTTATACTACGTTTCTTTAGTTGGTAAAAGTTTTGGAAACTTCTGAACATTCTTATACTAAATGTAATAAATAATCATTTGTTTTATTGGTTAAATGAATTATAATACGCAAGAGAATAGAAAAGAAACAGATAGGGATTAAGGTACTCAGATAACTTCGACGGGATGGATTTAGTTTTTATCTCTTAACATCTTACGAAAAATGTGATCCTAAAATGTCGAAAAATTGCTAATTGTAGTAAGCGGAGAGATATATGCTGACCTTCCACTACAACCAACCAACAAAGGCTCTTAGTACAACAGAATACTATGACTTTTTTTAATACTTGTCGTTTTTATTTGCTTGTAACAATAGTTACAACTCTGTATATTTTATGAGGGAATAGAATAAAATAGAAATTTATAGGAATTTAGGTTCATTGCTTCCATTAAGGAACTTTTGTTCTGAAGTTGACCCTATCCGAATAGAAGCCCAAACGGTTTTTTATTGAAGGGTTCCTAATATCAAATGGGGACATGAGCTTCTGTTATATATACTTTCTTTTCCTAGGCCTTATCAGGTTAATTGTTGAACAACTTTCATCATACTAAGATTATTCAGATTTTTGTTACAGTTAATTAAAATATAACATTCCCAAAGATTTGATCGACTTTTAAATTTCAGCACCAAATGAAAATAATAACATCACGAACAACAACAACATTAATCCAGTAACAACAAATCCAATAACTGCACCAAAACCATTGCAGCCCGCTTATCAACCATTTAAGAAGCATAGAGCACCGGCACCACCACCCCAAGCAGGCGTGGCTGCAGCGACAGTATCTGTGATAAGGCAATCGAGTTTTCTCTATGGCGGCAACAATAGCATCGGCCAAGCACAAAGCCAAACACCAAATGCAACTGAAGCACCAAGAAATTAAGGAACTAATAGACGTCTTCTATACTTGCTATAAGTTATCAATAAAAAAATTATATTAATTATATTATTATATTATAAAAAATCAGTTAAACTAAATTTAGTAAATTTCTTGAGTGAAAAGTATAAAATAATAACATATTACAATTTTAAGTTTTTTTATAATATACATATATATATATAAAATAAATATAAAAAATATTTTAATTAGAAATTATGTTGAAAGAATTTATTAAATTAATTATTTAAATTTAAAATAATATTAGCATGTTTACGTGTGTGTGTGTGTGTTTACTAATTTTGTTGTTATCATATATACAAAATGAAAAAAAATATTAAGTTAAATAATTAGTAGAATTAATAAATTGGTTAAACAATAACTTTAATATAATTATTACGAGAATATCTGTAACTAGTAAAGTATAAATCAAATCAAAGACTTTTCCTCTACATAATGGCCTTCATCATTATTATTGATATATGTATATTATTATATAATAAATAAAAAAATACGAAAATAAAAATAAATAAATTAAAACGTAAGTAATTTTGTTCTTCATGTGAATTTTTCATTATTTTAATATAATTAACTTATTTTATACATATGCAAATGTATAGATATTGTATATGTATATGCCTACATGCATACATACATATTATAAATATTATTAATATTGTCATATCGTTACTTTTAGACATTTTTAAATTAAATTTTTTGATGTTATAATGAACAATAATTATTACTGTACGTAAATCTATAGTAAAAATATTAAAATTTTATGCAATAAAAATTAGTTTAAAAAATTGCATTTCGTTTTTAATTTTAAACACACATCTTAAAATTATATATAGTAAAAATCCTAAATATCATTCACTAAAGTCATTTAATAATAACATACATATATATACATTTTTTCCTGTACGTAAAAAGTATCAAAAGCCACAGTATGAGACTTGAACCCAGGAATCCCAAAATTTCAGCCATTGATCAAACGTTATAAGCTGAGATTCCACTCCAGTAAGCAAGGGAGAGAATACAGAAGTAACAAAATACAGAAGGCTCAGTATTCAGACGACAAATATGTATGTATATCTAAGCAAAAATTGAAAATAAGTGAAAGGGGGAAGGCAAAATGTTCTCTCTCCCTTGCAAGGTACTAATTACTAACGAAGAGTAAAGAGATTGTTGTAATCACGATTGTAGTGCGGGATTAAAAGAATGATGCTGACAATGTAGTCCAGATGAAGGGTCAGGAATTGAAAAGAATTATACCTCATATTAGTAGATCGATGGGAAATTGATGTTAGTGAAGAATATGAAGCAGAAGATTATGTCGCCTGGTAAAGTATCTTTGTGCTAGGGATAATAAAAAGTTATCTAAACGCTTGATGTTAGAAAACTTGTAGATAGCGGAATTGGTAAAGTGTCTGCCATCGGGTGTGCGCTTGTAGTTAGTGCAGTCTTGAAACAGTCTTCTTTCAAACGCTCAAAAACGTTCCATTTGAGCGGATGAGGTTCTGGACCAAATGAGAAATGAGTATATATATTCCATATTTAACAGATTGTGTTAACGCAGAGCCTTTTTAAGCTCAAGGAACCGAAGAATGGCATTCTCGATGACGTATGAAATAAAATTATGTTTAGGATTCGATACAATTCCATTATCGGTAAGGCTAATATGAGAGCTTTTAACTCGAAGTTATATGGCTGACAATTTATAACCCCTAAAACAGTTGCGATATCCGTCAAGAATGACCGAGATTGCCGAGATTTTTAATGGTTTATACACAACATATGAAAACATGGTAATTGTTATATTATTAATTTAATTATGATATAAATTAATTATTTGTATAAGTTATCCAGCTTTATTAATTTTATTTTTTTTTAATACGAAAATAATCTAAATTATTCTTTTTCCAATTTGTTTTTTTTTCTTTTAGCGCGGTAAGTTGTTTTTCTACCTAAAAAATGCGGAATGTAAGTTGCGATTTTTATAAGTTTTTCGATTTTTAGTTAGTTACTTAATATAAGTATCATTATTAACATAGACAATCATTTAACAAAGTAATAGACAATATTAGTAATTGTCTTGAAATTGTGTTCTTACTTAATAAGCAACTGTTGCTTATGACTGTTGCTCGTTGTTGTTATTGTAGCACGTCAAGATCTGCCTGTGTAGTTTCTTTTGAGAATCTTGAAGGGCACTTGGTCGTTGAATTTGATAGGTTGCACTGAGACGTAGATGCGGCTGTCAGCGAATAGTTAGCTTGATCGTAAATTTTACTCAACTGCATTTTTGACATTACTAATGACTGTAGTCAAAGAGATTGTTGCTGAAGGGGAATTCGGAAAAAGCACTTAAGTTGGTGAACTTGTTAAAAAATTTTTAATTGGAGAACCTCCACACTTAAAAATAATTTTAAAAGTTACTTCACTTAAATATGCATTGTAAAAATAGATTCAAATATTTAAAAATTAATTATAACAAATGTTTGTTATAAACAATATATAAATTTAGAAACTAGTAGCAGTTTTAAAGTCGGTTTTGTTTTTTCTTTTAAGAATTCTAATATTAGGAATTCTTCTGAAGAAGGCAAAAGCGAATTTGCCGAAATACGTATAGAAATATAATAAAAATTAAAGCTCGAAATAAAAGTTAATATTCTTAAAAAAAAAACAAGTCCGACTTTAAACAATTCAAAAATTAAAAACAAAATTATATAAACAGTTGCTAGCAACTTTTCGTTTTATTTTATTTATTAATAAAATAGTTATTAAAATATAAATTAAACGAGTATAAATCTATATATAGTTAAATTCCAATATTTTTTATTTTTATAATGTTTGTTAATATAATAACTATTAGTATTTATATATTAAGTTAAGTTATATTTTTTGCAATTTGTGTTGTCTAAATATTTAAAAATCATTTAAGTGTAAATACAACTCTGTGCTAAACAAAAACATTGAATATCACGGCGCAGAAAAGTCAAAATCGTTGAGTAAGAATTTCTTCGCATATATTGAACGCCTTTAAATTAAACAAAAAGGAAATAATACAAGTTTTTATACTAATTTATTAAGTTTTAAACGCAACATACAAAAAATGGTAAGCGTGCAAAATTAAGCAGTTAAACAATTGCATAAACAACAAACACACCGTATGCAAACGAACGGGAGAAGTGCAACGAAACAGGATAGAAAAAAGAAAAACAGCGATAAGTAACATTACTTCTTTCGCTTATCATCGTAATCTCAACATTAACCGGATAGAAAACATTTTATTTTATTTTTTTCTTTAACACATAAACACCGAAAATTAATAAATAAATTATCTTGCGATGTACCCTTGGAGCTCTGCTGCCTATACGCAGTCCGCCCCACTCCTGACGGTAATTCATAAGCATTCTGTCGCACACACGCCTCTAGCCTTTAGCTCACATTACCGCCTATTAACGTTACATTGTACAATTTCATATGCATAAATAACAACTTTAAGAAATTATGGTATTTATGAATCATTTAATTAATCTCATTTGGTAGGTGCTGAATATGCATTATTTCATTTAATGATAATTTAAAACAATAACTGTGGTAGAAATGAAGATATGTAAACTTTACTTTACTTTAATGCAAAAAGGTGTCTTATATTAAATATGTGTTGAATATCAATATAAAAAATATTTATTTAATATTGTGCACACCCCCTATTACCGCATATAGTAACTAATTCAATACTTTGAAAGTGCTTTAAAAATAGAGAAAACAATTATCTTATTTAATATTTGCATTATGATAATGAATCTCATCATATATGAACATAATAAATTAAGAGATAACATTATATGAATATGTATTCAAGAAAATTTTAAATAAGAAATATTTATGATTAATTCCTCTTGACACAATTATAAATTAAATCAATTCTAATATTATTTTTTTAGATTGTAGTAACGATCTGGCTATATAAACATATATGATATATATATACTATTTATTCAAAAAAATTTAAAGCACAGTCAAAGTTTGATTTGGGTAGTTTAACCATGGGATTCCTCAAATTGTGTTTTGTAAACTAATAATTATGCTCTGTCGTCGAATATATGTATGATATATATTTTTTACCATAAATATAAACATAGACGAAATCATATTATATCATTTAAACTTTTAAATTAAAGCTCATTTGTTTGAATACGTTACAATCAAAATATTTCTTTTGCTTACATACATTGTTAGCCATTACACTCGTGAGCCATCCCTGACCACGTTCAGTAATGTCCGCCAGTTAGCCCGATCAGTAGCTTGCTGTCGCTAGTTGGTAGTACTGAGTGCATTCATATCGTTGGGCAACTGGTTCTGCCACCGAAGATGCGAAGGCCCCTCTACCGCGTTTTCCACTACCGGTTATATATACATTTCGTAATAAGTTAGTTGGAGTTCTCTGTTGAAATTTTTAATAAAAGATGGAAAAAGTCAATGATATGCAGGCATTTGTATGCAATCTGGCCACCTTCCACTAAAAGGAAATCCAATATTCTCAATGAGATGCCCCGTAGAAGTATTAGTTTTATAGTAGGTTTACTTACAGGTCACTGTGAACTAGGTAACCATGCTAGATGATTGAATCTCTCTTTCAATCATACCTGTCGCAGCTGTGGGGAAGTATGTAAGAGTACTTCTCACATACTCTGTCTTTGCCCAGCTCGAGCACGACGGCGACTCAACCTTTTAGGAGCCTCCTTTCTTGAGGATCTTGATAAATTACAAGATCTCCCATTAAACAGCATTCTGAGCTTCGCCGAAGATTCTAGGTGGTTTTAATCCTGTGTTTTGCTCTAAATACGGCAACACAACGGGCCAATAGGTCTAAGTGGATCCCTAGGCATCGCCGGTGTAACTTAACCTTATCTAGATTAGATTAGTTCATACCGACGATCAAAAGGATCCACATAGACCTATTGAATCATTGTACTACCTTATAAGAACTCAAACATTTAGAATCCTAATCGAACATTTGGCAAAAATTAAAAGGAAGGTTCTGGAACTATACAAGATTGTCATAAAAGAC